AGTTATTTCAGGTTTAATTCGATCAACAACTTCCCTACAATTTTTTCCAAGGATGCTTACTGTTGCCCCCGAATCTAATAAGGCAGTATAGATTTCATTTTCAATTGAAATTTGTACAAAAGGTCGCGGATCATTTTTAGCAGCTAGGATTATGGATTCAGATATTAATTTACGTTTTTGCTTTCGTTTTGTGTAATCGGACCTTAATTGCAAAATTTTCAAATATCTTTTCTCCATTTTATCTAATCTTTCTGTTAAGTTAGGTCGAAATTTATTCATATCATTAAAATTTTCTGTTGAATTTTCATTAAATATTCTTTGTCTGGTCTCTTTATAGTTTTGTTGGCGCACTTCTATTGGAAGAACGTGACGCATTTTGGCAAAGCATATTTCCCTATTAGGCTCTACTGTTGTTGGTTTGGGGTCCCGGTCAAAGGACGTGATTCCCCAGTATACTTCACGCCCCGCCTTTGGTTTTCCCGATTCTTACAATTTGGGCAATTAGGGGTTATGACGTCAGGCTTACCACACTTATAACAAAAAAGATGACGTTGTGTAGAGGGACAATCAATGAATATGTGCCCAGTTTGTCTGCAATTCCAACAAGTTACAAGACTACTTATTTCTTCAACATGGCTTATTTGATAATCGTCCTGAGAAATATCTAATTCTTGGACATATTTACGAGTTGGTGGTGTTGGGATTTTAAAGTCTCGTTTTGAAAACTGTCTTTCCGCCTCTACACACTCAATTCTCAATTGTTCAAGTGAAGAAATAGGTATTGGATAAACTATACGACCTATATTGTCTCTTAAATTCATTTTTGCTAATTTAATCAACTCAAATTCAGAAATCGGTTGTTGTAATTTTGAGCGTAATAGATTTAGTTGATAGAAGAAGCTATTAATACTCTCACCTACTTTTTGTTTTCTTTCCACTAATTCATGCATGATGTCTAGATTGGTCCTGTGTGTTCTGAAACGGCTCAATAAGGAATGGCGTAATGTTTCCCAGTTTGACACTGGATTGGTTTCCACATACAGCCAATACCAGTCCATTGCCTGGCCAGTTACCAAAAGGTGAAAATCATCCAATATCTCCTTCCAAGGAATTTGATACTGACGCTGACAATATTCCAATCGGAAAACAAAAGATTCTACTGAAAGGTGAGTTTCTTCTCCATCAAATTTCAAACCAAACCTATCTACACGTGCTCTATTTGCATAATAATTTACAGGATTAAAATTTGGGGCTAACTGTGGGGCTGATGATGGAGGAGGTCTGGAATACTCGGGCTGTGTCGCATTAGTACGATTGACATTTATATTGTTACTCTCAATGGTTGGAGGTGGGAAATCAAATTGATGCACGTTCGGATTTTGGTTATTTCCGACCGGAGCATTGGGAGTTTGTATATTATTTTGGCTTAACGATAAAGCCCTAACCGCATTATTTAATAGACTTAAACTGTTATGAATTTTTCCTATTTCTCTATTCACAGATTCGTTCACCATATCACGCACTGAGTGTTTTAACGATTTCCTCATATTATCAACACTATCTATCACCATCTCTTTAACAGAATGAGGCAATTCATCTGATAAATTTGCACTTTGAATGGATGCAGCGCCATCATCGGTGCGGTTCTTTGGTATTGCTCCCGTGTTGACGTTACGTGTATTTATTGTATTTGACATGTCAATAATGTTAGAATTAGTAGGTGGTGGTGGCATTCTTCTCGCTCTATTGTCTTTTGCGTATTTTTCTTTAATTTGTGGTGAAGACCTATTTAAATCAAATGAAATGTTTCTAGCCCTATGTCTTTTTAAATCGCTTTTGTCAGCTGTAGACATAACTGTTAAAGCCAAATAAAAATTAATTACCTAATTTGAAAATATGAATTAATTGTCTTATATTATCCGCAAGAGTTTTATGTTTGTATTAAACTATAGCGACTATATTTTTATATTGTGTGGAAACTAAAAACATATAATTTAATCATACACAATTTTGAAACTATCTAAACACAAAAAAAAAACATTTATTTGACATTAATTTATTATACTACTTTTAAACAAACTAGATGTATACATAAAAAAATACTGATAATATTACTATAGCAAGGTTAATTTTTGATTTGTTTTAAATTGTAAAAATTTCTCTTTTTTTTTTTTTTTTTTTTTTTGGTTTTTATACTGTAAAAAAAAAATGTAATATGAAAAACAATCACAACAAAACAAAAAAAAATCTTTTCAAAACAAGGACTATATATATGTATATGGGTTCAGTTAACAAAAATGGTTTATCTGTGGTTGTGCATAATTTTATTATCCGTCTTCACTAGTTATCAATCTCGTGCCTTTTAAGGACTTCTCTAATGTGCATAAGTCAAATTTAAACATTAAACAAAAAGAAAATGATTGTATTCTGTATACCTTATATTCACAATATTTTTATCTTCTATGGATCAAATACGCATATAAATAGTATATTTGTAATCTAGATAAATATTATAACAAGCCTTGACTTCGGGCTCAAGACCGATATTCTCTAACATTACATTTAACAGAAAACAAATTATATATAAGTAAAACTTTACTGAAACTAAATTTTGAAAATGAACAGCTAAATCCCCAAATGACAGTTTTCTATTATTATTATTATTAAAATCTTGCACGTTCCGGATTTTTACTGTTCCTGTATTATGGACTCGTACATTCAGTTGGTTATAGTTTTACAATCTATGAAACTGCTGCACAAATATATAAATTTTTAATAATTTGGAACCATTAGGTCTACAGACCATGATTATATTGTCTATAACCAACGTTGTACGACATTTAGTTTATGGTAGAATTCTATTGGTTTATTATTTTGTACATTTAGATGACATACATACATATTTACTTAGCAAGTTAGGGAGTTGTATGTTTATACATCCTAACGCTTCGTTATTAAAATTGGGCGCCATATTGTTACGTGTCCCAAAAAGCATTGTAATGGTGATGCCAACTAGCTCAACGGCTCACCTAGGGAAAGGTTCCAACCCACCATTACAACCCAAAGGACAAGCACAACGAATTAAAAATAATTCAACTATAACAACAAAAAAAAATTATCACGAACGAAAATTGCACCTCGAGATAGTAGGTAGAGCTGTTACATACCTCACGACTGCCCTCCCAACCTGGACTGCTATTCATTCCTAAACTTTCATATTTTTATTGCAGTCCCCATTATTGCACTTCAACCACACTTACCTCACATCGTTAACTTAAACCCCAGAAACAAAAATTACCACATGACAAACATTTCTAATTTCACATTACAAATAATTTATTAAATTTATTCTTAAATTGTAATCTAAAAAGAAAACTAAACTAGCCTTAACTATTCTTTCGTTTGGTCTTTTACAAATAGAAACTTTTTTTAGAGTAAATTTAAATCGAACGGTTAATGAAAACCAATGGTAATATTATTTGTTTGTTAATTTGTCTTCAAACAGAAATAATAAAAAAATATAAAAAAAAATTGTCTTTTAACTAATGTCTAAATATAATAACGACTAACAAATTATTTTAATTTTAAGGGCAAGAATATACTCTAACCTAAATTTGTGGATATATAAGTATAAATTTTATTTCTCTAATTAACAAACAACAGACCTTCCACAACCTATAAAGTTTACCTCAGGCTTTCTATAAGAACTTTAATTACTATTTATCAATAAACATAACCTAAAGGAGCTCGCTTAGGTTACCACAGTGTCTTTAATATAACACTAAATGTTCTTGTTTAAATTGACTTCAGCCTCACTTGTTTTATTAAACTTTATATGTTGCAAAAATACTCTATTGGAATCACAAAAAAAAATGTTTTTATCGCAATTAAAAAAAAAACAATCTCACAAATGTAGGTACTATTACTCTATTATTCCCCTTATTACAACAATTCAAAACTTAAAGAACTATGACTATGTGAAAATAAAAAAAATTAAAACTAATTGTACAAAAAAAAAACTAACACTAAAGCTTATTATTATTAACGTCTAAATCTCCTTTTTTTTTTTTTATTAAGATCGCTAGTCACAACACTTAATATGTATATATAAAACTAATTTAAGATGGCGATTTAAATGGAGCTAATTTATCGGCTTATATAAAGCATCCATTTTTAAATATGTCGGACTATATATACATATATGAAATCGTTTGATTTAATTTTCAATGTCTGTATTATTTACTTTTCTTCTTTTAATAACCTTTTTTTTTTGCTTCAAATATCTTCGCACTTAATTTTTCACTGGAGGCTGCTTTTGCCCAGGATTCTTGTTTTATTTATTGTCTACTTACAGGTTACAATTGCCTTGGCTTTTTACCCAAAATAAATTTCCACCTTGACTTATATTTGGTGTTGGTAAAAGATGGCCTGTCGTAGCTTCTTCAAAAACAATTTTCCTTGCGGTAAATTTTCCTTTAGCCTCCAGCTAAATAAATTATTATTATTTTCCATAAGCCTTTATTTAATTTATAACCTGTTGTACCTACTTTTTTTTTTGTTTTAATACCAGCTTCAGCTTATGTATTTGTGTATAACAATGTAAAATTTTGTCCTCAATTTACTTGTTGTTATTATCAATTTATTTCAATATTTAATCTTTAAATTTATTTATTAAATTTTTAACACCTTTTCAGATTTGTGCTTCTATTGTGTTGTAACTTTGATCTAGTAATGGCGCTTGTGAACGTTTCGCCATATTATCATGCCCTATAACATTTCCAAAAAATTTTCCTTTCCAGACACTACAATAAAGCTACACTTATTTTCCTGACATTTCGAAACTAAAACAGGAATGTTCATCATACTATAACGATAATTTATGAATGAATTTTCCTGACGTATACATCTCTGTCATTATTATACTTTTTTAATCTGGCAATACCTATAAGTTTTCTTTCTTTAATCTATTACAAAAACTTTTACGCACATACAATCCACATGATCTACAACAGCTGATCAACACATTGCAATGTACCACTCATCACAATATTAAACAAAACACAAAAACTGCTCGAAATACACATAAAATAAAACATTACATGAAACAAACAATAAACCAAACAAACAAAACAATCACAACGCACAAGAACCAACCAACAAGGGACCACATGAAACTCAGATCACAACATACAGGACATAACAAAACCGAACAAAACAACACGGGAAAGACAACACAACAACATCAACACACAACCGGAGCATACAGGATCGGTCGCGAAATGGAACCACATCATCCACAGCTAACATACTCATGAAAGTTAAGATTATTGGTTGTTTGAATATTAATTTTCCTTTTGTTTCAACAGTTCCATCTGTGAGCCACAAACCACCTCAGTGACCATGGAGACTATTACTACACGCAACACGCTATAGAAAAAATTAAGGAAAAAGTGCCGCTATTTTTAAAGTGTTATATATAAAAGTATATAAAAGGAAAAAATGTTAAAATACATAAAAAAAAGTGCCGCTATAAAAAAAAAATATATAAGAAAAGTATATATATATATTGAAAATTAATAAGCTTACATGAATATTAAAAAGAAAAAATTATTTTATGAATACCCTAATTGTGTTATTACAAGTAAATAAAGTGTACATACATGCATACATATATACGTACATATTAAATGTGGAAAAAATTAAATGTGAAAAAATTAAGAAAAAAATAAAATAAAGCAAAAAGAAAATTACAAATAAAATCAAACGGGAAAAAAAGAGTTCAATTTAAAAACAGAAATAAGAGAATTTCTGTATCTCTCCCACTCATTCATCAAGAGAGCAAACATCACTCATTCATCAAGAGAGCACATCAAGGGCATATCAGTAAGAGAACATCTCAACAACAAGAAGGAAGAAAGAACAAAAGCAAGTACACTCAAACGAAGTAAGAGAAAGCAATTCATCAAATCTAAAGTGAGTAATTTTTACATTATTTTTACACTCGAATATTTAATGTGAGTAATTAATTTGCGAAAAAAAGTGTTAATAAAGAAAAATATATTGTAAACTATTCTAAATTGAAAAAGTGGTACAAATAAATAAAATTTTGTTAAAAATAAATGTGCTTTAAAATATTTATACGGTTTTTGGAAAAAAAAGCTAGTGAAAAGTGAAGACTTGAATATAACCAAGAGTTTTTAAAATTTTCATAAAAAAAAAAAAAAAAAACTACATTTAGTGATGCTAAAAAGTTCTTTCAATATCTCTCTTACATGTTGAACTGATTGTAACACATTTTGGAAAAAAAATTAAATAATCCCAACAAACAATTAAATTGAAAAAAAAAACTACATTTAGTGATGCTAAAATTTTATCGTGATTGTATGCAATTTTTATATATTAAAAAAAATTATTTAATGTAAATAAGATAAAAAATCGTTATTTTGAACCATTCATACGATCATTAAAGATTATAAACATAAATCCAATACATTTATATTTCTTTTAATTGTTTGCTGGGTAATGAGAAAATAATAAAAATAAAAAACGGTACCTTTGTTATATTCAAGTCTTGTCAAAGAGAATTAAAGTAAACAAGTATAGGGTTTGCAGTTTCAGTTTACAATTAGGGTTCGCAATTCCGGTTTACAATATCTCTTATTCTCGATTATTTATTAACGAAATTCCCAAAAATAGAAAACAGAATTATAAAAACTTCGAAATTTGAAAAATAATTAAAAGAATAAAAGTGTATGTGTAATAACGTTTGTGGTGTTTATTCTGCCTAATAAGTAGAATAAAATTAAAAAGTATATGTATTTAAAAGTTAAAGTCAAAATTTAACTAAGAATACATACTACAGCCACTCAAAACACAAATAACAAAAGAATACAGAAAACATTTTTGTTAATAAAAATTAATATACTGTTGTAAAATATTAAACGTTTATAACCCTATGATCATTCGTGCGTTTGTGGTGTTTATTCTGCCTAATAAGTAGAACAAAATTAAAAAGTATATGTATTTAATACATATTACAGCCACACAAAACATAAACTTTAATAACTTACAATATTCGCCGGTAAAAACAAAGTGCGTTCTCTTGAGTATTATACAAATAAAAAAAATTTTTGGAAGTTGTCCCTCTCTTAAATGAAAACTATAAAATATTTTGCTCTTAAATAGAAACATATGGTTAATTTATACAGCATAGGTACATGAATTGTCCTACACCAAATTATAAAGAAAATTATAAAGAAAAAGGGGTCTTACACCGAAACATATACATAACACAACGAAGATCACAAGACAGTTGTTTACGTCGACGAGGATATCGAGGGATCTGGATAGAATTGAACGAAAATTTCACATGAAGATACTGAATCTGGAAATTAAGGAGACAAACTATAAATTGAGTGATCTAAAAGATGAGATGAGAGAAAGCGAACAAATGATTAACAGATCACTGAATGCAAGGGAATACGGAGAATTCATGACGAAACAAAAAGCGAGATATAAAAAGAACTCAATTATGAATAAAAGGACACTTACATCTAAAATCGAACACTTGAAGAGAGACAAATTTACGGAATTTAACATAAAATTTAATCCAGACTGGTTTATCAACAAAACATCATTAAATATTCCAGAAGAAAGCCAATGGATACTCTCTCTTGGCTCAAAATTTGCTCTACCAATAGACAATAATTTTTCGACAATCGGATTAATAGCAGATATAGAGCAATGGGTTCAAACAATTACGGACGATAGAGAAAAGGATATTACCAGATCGAAGATAGCCAATAGAATTATGACTTATAGGAGAACTAAGAGGAACAATGAAAAGGAGAAATATATATTGAACATTTATGAGGATACGAGGAAATTCTTGAGAAGATATAAGAAAAAAGTTGTTATAACGAAAGCGGACAAGGGGAATAAAACAGTTTTAATGTACAGAGAAGAGTATTACAATGGAATGGGGAAGTTACTTGAGGATAAAATCACATATAAACGTATACCGACAGATCCGACACAAAAACTACAACGAGCTAACAACGCTCTCATAACGAACCTATACAAAAGGGAATATATAAATAGATATGATAAGATAAAATTGACATCCAATGCGGCAACAGCTCCAAGATTATATGGACTCCCAAAAATTCATAAACCAAACACTCCACTGAGACCAATATCTTCATCAATAGGAGAATTATCGAAATATATTGGGAACATACTGAAAAACATTATATTGGAAGAATATAACATTAAAAACGCCTTGGAATTGAAGAGTAAATTGGATACGCTAACATTGGACGAAGATGAGATCCTAATATCATTAGATGTGGTGTCACTTTTCACGAACATACCCATACACCTAGCGATAAATAACATTATGTCGAAATGGGATAAATTACAGAGCCACACGAAAATACCTAGGTCGCAATTTTTGAGAATATTACAATTTTGCTTGAATGACAACAACTATTTAATGCATGATGGAATATTTTACCACCAAACTTATGGCATGCCAATGGGCAACCCATTATCTCCAACGATAGCTGACATTATACTGGACTGTCTACTAGAACAATGTATAGAGGAATTACAAGCCAAGAATATAAATATACGACTTATCACAAAATATGTTGACGATTTATTTGCTATTATAAAATACAATGAGGAGGATGACATATTGAAAACTTTTAACTCCTACCATAACAGATTGAAATTTACACTGGAAAGGGAACATGAGAACTCATTACCATACCTGGATATGAAATTATACCGGAAAAATTGCAGGATAGTAACAGATTGGTACATGAAACCAATTGCTTCTGGACGACTGATGAACTTTCACTCAACACAACCTATGAAACAGAAGATGAATACGGCAATGAACTTAATTGATAAAGTCATAAAGACTAGTGACAGACAGTTCAGGGATAATAATATGATAAGGATAAGAGATATCTTACGCAAAAATGACTTCCCACATGGGTTGATCACCACATTAATAAGGAAAGTTGAGAACAAAATTAATTCCCCAGGTAATAACCAAGATAAGGATACATCTGGCAACACTAAATATTACAGCATACCGTTTATACCAAAATTAACAGAGAACAAACAAATAAGGGACATAATGAACGAGAAACAAATAATTATTGCATACAAATCGAATAAGACAATACAACAACTATTCACACAAACAAAAACAAAAATTGAAAATAGAGAACAAAACAATGTTGTGTACCAAATAAGATGTGATGGTGGGGACAATGAAGAGTGTGGAAAAGTTTATATTGGCACAACAAAGAGAAATTTAGGCGTGAGAATAGATGAACACATAGCTGACATAAAGAAAGGTAAACAATCAACTGCACTTGCACAACACTGTATTGAAAATAGACATAAACCTAATTTTGACAATGTAAGAATTGTGGACAAAGAGAGAAGAGAAAACAAGAGATTTACATTGGAAAGCTTGAGGATACAAACAAAATTCGAAGAGTGCAATAAATACAAAAGAAGATAAAGATAATACAAATGCAAATTACACCATAACATTATTCTAGTATAATAACAAACTGTGATCGAATAAGAACTTTTACTGTGATATTAAATTTTATTATCTTTACATTATTTAGTAATAAGTTTTTTGTTTGTGTTGTCCAAGTTTACAAAAAACTGTGATATTTTTAATAATGTAATTTTGACAAAAAAGAATATTTGTAAGTAAAAATTGTTCTTTATATAGATTATAAGATTGTTGTTACTGACAATTTAAACAAATATTTATTTTTCTTTTGTATAATTATAATGTTGCCAGATCATAAATAAAATCAAAAATCCCTGAAGAAGTTGGAAAATACCAACGAAACGTCGGATAGATTGAAGATGGGATAAATAATCTTTTATTTGAACAATGACCTTAAAAGCCTGTTTATAGGAAACTATATTTAATAATTGAGATAATTGAGAGAAGGTCGAAATAGAATATTATAGAATTATGAAAATTTGTTAATTTAAAATAAATTTTTGGAAATATTTGCACAGAAAAAACTTAAATACGATTTCAATTATCAAAATTTTATTTTCAAATATTTATTTATTGAAGTTCAATTTATAACAGTAAATACATATTCAATTCTTGCTTCTAATTGATTTTCAACACGGAAAAAAATTTAATTTAAAATTTTTTATAAAACAAAATATCGAAAATAAATTTAGAAAAAAAAGATTTAATCTCTGCAAACTTAAATAAATTTAATTTGCAAACGAAATAATTCGATATATTTAAAATTTTTGTTTGTCCCATAATAAATAATTTTTCTACGAAAATCAAATTCCAATGAAAATCTAATTACAAGGAAAATCAAATTCAATGAAAATCAAATTCCAATAAAAATCAAATTTCAATGAAAATCAAATTTCACGAAAAAAATAAAAATTCTAAAATTTAATACAAAATTCATTTAATAAATTGATTACGGAATAATTTCCTATTTGTTCACATTAACCGCTTAATTGATATTTCTGGAATAATTCCACAAGATTGTATTGAGAAATCAGAATACCACATAATACATAAAAGTTTTTTTTGATATTCGGTTGGTAAAAACATTACACTATATAATAATTGATCAAACCATTTCAGTATCAATTTCTCTATTGATTTAAACTCATTAATTGCTTGATTAAAGTGTATATTCTATTATTTTTTGTTTTGCTAGATTACAACAATCTAGTGCATTTATTCCATAGCTAAGCTATCACAAAACATATAGAAGATATACTTTATAATTTACTGATATTCCTACTTGTGTGCCAAAGAGAAATTTTTTTACCAATCAAAGTGAACAAATATATAGGATTTTTATCTCTTGTTTTCAGTTGTACTAGCCACAAGAACTAGTACTATCATTAAATAACGCTATAGTTGAAAAATCTTTTTTTGATTATTCTCAACATAATTTACATCAAAAATATATAAAGGTTTATTGAACATCTGTATCACAATACAGTACTTTAACTTAAAAACTATTGTTCTGTTAATCACAGACTTAACTCTTTGAATAAAATAAAATATCGAATATAATTATCATACAAAATGCCGCATGAAGAAGATTCCCCTATAGTTGATAGGTCATTTAATCCATCATACAAAGATTATTTTAGATTTGATTGTGAACATTTACTTCAGTATTGTGGAAAAGTGAATGAGAGCCAAACAGAAGATCAAAATGAATCTATATTAGAAGCAAGGTTAAAAGAGATAGAAGCAAGATGGGCAAAAGTAGATACTTCTTATCAAAAAGTAATGTTATCTCAAGATGACACAATTGATATAGAATTTAAAAACCAAGCAAGAGATGCATTTGATTCTTGTACAGAAGCATATGTCCAAACCACATCACAAGTTGTTGAGTTCCTTAAAAGCATGCGCTTAGATACAGTACAAATGCCAATGTTCCAATCAACATCTCGACCTTCAATACCATATCAAAATCAAATGAACGATAGTTCAAGTATCTGTATTAAACTCCCACCATGCGACACAGAAATATTTAAAGGTAGTTATGAACAATGGCCCTCGTTTAAAGACATGTTCACTGCAGTTTATATTAATCATTCAAAACTTACTCCTATAACCAAATTATATCATCTCAGAAACAAAACAAGAGGTGAAGCAGGAGCTATAGTAAAACGATATGCATTGTCCAATGATAATTTTGAGTTAGCTTGGAATGCGTTAAAAACTAGATACGAAAACAAACGAGTTTTGGTCGATAACCAAATCAAAATATTGTTTGATATACCAGCCGCAATTAATGAAGATAGTGAGTCCATAAGAAAAATACAGTCGTCAGTAAACGATTCATTAGTAACACTCAGTACGCTAGGAGTAGAAGTAAATAGTTGGGATCCCATTTTAATTCGTTTAGTATCAACAAAATTACCGGAATGTACTCTAGCATTATGGGAACAAAATTTAACTTCTCCTCGTGAATTACCAAAATGGTCGCAAATGTCACAATTTTTAGTAGACAGATATGAAGCGGTAGAGCGACTAACAGGCATTAAAACAACAAAAGACAGTTTTACTCTTTCCAATAAAAAATCTCATATACAAACATATACATCGCAAGAAAACATATATACGAATTGTAAACTCTGTAATAATGAACATTATTTAAGGAATTGTCCAAAATTCAAAACGTTTTCAACGCAACAAAGAATAGATTTTGTCTTCAAAAATAAAATATGTAACAATTGTTTAAGTCCTTCACATATTAAGACGAAATGTAGAAGTAAAAGAACATGTTTTTACTGTAAGAAAGATCACCATTCATTATTGCATATTGCACACAAACCATCAATTACACCACAAAATTCTGAAAATATTCAAAACAATGGTAATAGTAACCATACTAAAAATAATATTCAAAATACAAATACACAAGCTGAACAGACGAGTAATTCTTACAAAGATGAACCTGCAACTACTTCACAACGCGTTCAGGCAAACTGCTCGTCTAGCAACGAAAATATTTTATTGCGTACAGCTTTGATGCAAATAGAGCATCAAGGAGAAATCTTTACGATAAGAGCTTTGATAGACCCAGGCACCCAAAGAACATTTATTACAGAAAAAATAAGAAGTAAATTAAAGTTGCCTTATAGAAATTCTCATTTTGAAATTAGTGGAATAGGAGGTCAAAAACAATCCGCAAAAAAAGAGTGTGAATTTATTTTATATGCAAAGAAATATAACCTACGAGTTCCAATTAAGGCAATCGTCTTGTCGAGTGTTACTAATACACTACCAGCAGTTACGTTTAAAGTCCCATATTCTGCAGAACTTAAGAAATTGGACTTAGCTGACCCAAATTTTAATAAATCTTCCCAAATCGATCTTATTCTTGGTAATGATTATGAACATTGTCTGAATCTAGAAGGCATAAAGAAAAATATATGTGGCCAAACATCAGCCTATAAAACTATATTTGGATGGGTGCTTAGCGGACCAATAAGAGCTGAAACTGTTCAATCATTCTCAACTGCGGTTACTTCATCAGAATCTTCAGAAGTCAGTACACTATTGAGAAAATTTTGGGAGCAAGAAGAAATACCCAAAACCCGCCTTACGTCAGAAGAAGATGATTTTGTTGAACAATTTTACACTCAAACAACTACTCGAAGCAAAGATGGACGATATATTGTAAGGTTACCTTTTAAAAAAGAGTATCACGAATCAGTATATTTAGGATCATCTAGATTTATCGCATTAGCTCAATATGCCAGTATGGAAAAAACTTTAGGAAAAAATAATGAATTGCAAGCTTAATATAAATCTGTTTTAGACGAGTATTTAACTCTAGACCACATGGAAGAAACAACATCAACTGAAATTAATTATGAAGGTAAATTTAGTTCTTATTATTTGCCCCATCATGCGGTCGTGCGATCTGACCATAAAACAACAAAGGTGAGAATTGTGTTCAATGCCTCTAGGAAAACAAAATCCAACTTTTCTCTAAACGATGTTCTGTATACAGGTCCTACAATTCAAAACGACTTAATAACAGTAATTCTGAATTGGAGAAGATATAAATACGTGTTCAGTGGGGACATACAGAAAATGTATCGTCAAATCCTAATTCATCCAAATGATAGAGCATTCCAAAGAATATTATATCAACCTGAAAAAAATGGCCCTATTAAAGATTATGAATTGAAAACTGTTACGTTTGGAGTGAATAGCGCGCCTTTTCTAGCAATTCGTACGTTACATCAACTAGCGTCAGATTCAAAAGCGGAATCTCCCAAAGCATCATCCATTTTAAAGTATGAGACTTATGTAGATGACATATTAACTGGTGGGTTTTCAATTGAAGAAACTCGAGAGGCACAAAATGAATTAATTAAAACTCTGAAGTCTGCTGGATTTTTACTCAAGAAAATAACAGCAAATGATACACAGTTATTGGAAGATGTACCAAAAGACGATATATATGATTCCGATTTTTTACGGTTTCATGAAACTAGCTCCACAAAAACTTTAGGCATAAAGTGGAACGCAATATCAGATACATTTACATATACTTTTTCAGCACTAAGTCCATCTACGAAAATAACAAAACGCCAAGTTCTGTCATCAGTCGCAAAACTGTTTGATCCAGCTGGATGGCTAGCCCCTATAGTCATCAGAGCAAAAATATGTATGCAGCAGTTATGGTTAGAAGGTAAAGACTGGGATGAAGAAGTTTCTGAGGAATCTCTACAAAATTGGAACAATTTAGTACAAGACTTATCTGAAGTTGAACTAATATCAATTCCCCGTTGGATTCAACTTATGCCTAATGATACAATACAAATTCACGGTTTCTGTGATGCATCGAAATCCGCTTATTGTGCCACTGTATACATTAGGTGTCAAACAAAAACTCAAAATGTATTCTCAAATTTACTAGTAGCAAAAAGTAAAGTTGCCCCTTTACAAACTGTCTGCCTCCCGCGCTTAGAGCTTAATGGCGCAGTGTTATTAGCAAATTTAGTTAATTACGTAATAAACTCTCTTAATTTCAGTAAAAGCGAAATATATTTGTGGACAGATTCAGCTATAGTCCTTGGATGGTTATCAAAACCACCTTCATCATGGGAAACTTATGTGGCAAACAGAACATCACGAATACATGAATTAATGACTAATGTCACATGGCGACATGTTCCAACACATGATAATCCAGCTGATTTGGGCACACGAGGTTGTAAAGCACAAAATTTGGTAAATAATTCACTTTGGTGGAATGGACCATCATGGTTAAAAAAACCATCATCAGAATGGCCTAAACGAAATATATTAAATAATAACCCAGAAAATAAAGAAATACAATCTCTAAACGTTCAGCTTGAAACGGATGACATCCTAGACAATTTTTCATCATATGGCAGAGCTTTACGGGTAATATGTTACATTTTTAGATTTTTCCATAATACTAATAAGAAAATGCGTAAAAATTTAAAACATAATACTCAAATTGCATTGACACAAAATGAAATGAAATTTGTAAAGTCAAGACTAATTGTTTTAGCTCAAAAAACATTTTATAACGAAGAATATCAATGCGTAAGTAAATCAAAAGATATTTCAAACAAAAGTACGCTGAAAAGTTTAAACCCATTCATAGATAAAGATTCAATTTTGAGAGTAAATGGTAGATTAGCTCATTCATCACGACCATATGGCGAACGTTATCCCATAATTTTACCTGGCAACTCCCGATTTTGCCAATTATATTTACACCATTTGCATGAGTTTCTCTTTCATGCTGAATGCGGTCAAATGTACCGAATAATACAAACTGAATTTCTCATATTCAGACTAAAACCTTGTATTAAGAAAATAATCCGTAACTGTAAAATATGCTTAATATATAAAAAGCAGCCATGCTCTCAGATAATGGCTCCCTTACCTCCGGAAAGATGTAATCTCTCTCTTCCTTTCCAGGTAACAGGTATTGATTTTGCTGGACCTTTTGAGTTAAAAACGTCGATTCTAAGAAAATCTCCAATAACTAAAGGATATGTAAGTGTATTTGTATGTTTTAGCACGAAAGCTGTCCATTTAGAGCCATGTTCAGAATTATCCTCAGCGGCATTCCAAGCTGCCTTCGCTCGATTCATTGGGAGGCGGGGGCTCCCCCAAAGGGTAGTTACGGATAATGGACGAAATTTCTTAGGTGCTAGTAGAATGCTGGAACGAGAATTTTCTGCGTTTGTTAAAAATAGTGCCCAAGATGTAGCGCAGAAATATATAACACATGGGTTTGAATGGAAATTCATCCCACCTCATGCTCCTCATATGGGCGGCCTCTGGGAAGCAGCCGTAAAAAGCTTCAAATATCACTTTAAACGAATTGCTGGGGCTCACAAATTCACCTTTGAGGAATTCGCCACAATTTTAGCACGAATAGAAGGAGTACTCAATTCCCGGCCTATATCAGCAGTATCAGAAGACCCTTCAGATCTCACAGCTCTAACGCCAGGACATTTTTTAAGAGGTGCCCCTTTGATGGCATTCCCTGAACAAGATTGTTCGAATATGTCGGTAATAAATAGATGGGAAAAGCTGAAGGTTATACATCATCAATTTTGTCAACGATGGAAAAATGATTATCTAAAATCACATCATAAAAGGTATAAGTGGAAAACCTCATCTCAAAATATGCAGGTTGGAGATTTAGTCATTATTATGGACGATCTACTGCCGCCTCACGAGTGGAATCTTGGCCGAATTGAAAAAACTTGTTCCGGTTCAGATGGTAATGTACGAACTGCCGAGATACGAACTGCTAATGGGGTAATTAAACGACCTATCGTCAAATTGTGTTACCTACCTTTTCTAAATCAAGAAGAAGCTCAGGTAGACTCAAACCTTAAAGTTCAATCCTCTTTTTCAAAATAAAATTAAAATTTATATCTCAAATATCTTAGTTTATCTTTAATTTCTACCATAGCTTAAAAATGATGTATTTAAAATATCCTAATAAAAATTTATTATTCAAATTTCAAGGATGTTTGATGACTGATAACCCATATTCAAATTTGCAATCCAACCATTTCCCTATAATATACTAATTGAACTATGTTTTCCTTTTATCTATCACCACATCAGGTCCAATCGACGACTAACCGCCACTCGGGTCCCTAATGAAAATCATAGCCCTAATGAAGAGAGAAGCGTGGTACCAAGAGACTTAGAGGTGTTCTACTGTGTGATATGCACAGGATATCACGGGCTCAAGTTCTGTCGAAGATTTAGAAGGATGACGCCACAAAAGAGAAGGGACATAGTTGAACGACTAGGGTACTGTGTTAATTGCTTGGCTAAAAGCCACAGCATCCGGTCATGTACCTCAATGGAGGCGTGCTTAAAATGTGCACAATTGCACCATACCCTGTTGCACCTAACAAGAACAGTCAGCCCACGACCGAGAACTACCACCAGCAGCAGTCGACGCAGTCTCGATAACTCCGAGACCCACCAACAGCATCGTCAACACCAACAGCTTCGTCAACACCAGCAGCATCGTCAACACCATCGTCAAAACCGACAACATCAACCTCACCCTCATCATCACCAACATCAACATCAACATCGTCATCATCAACATCGTCATCATCAACGTCAGCAACATCATCATCATCGTCAGCAACGTCATCAACTTCAACAACGTCACCCAACTCCACAACCGCCAGCTCCAGTTGCATCTCCTGCTACAAATACAACACCCGCTCCAGATCAACACATCTTGGCTGAAGCTATAAAATCGTTAGTCAACGTCCTATGCTATCAAAGCAAAAAGGAGTAAATAGGCAAGGTTCGAGGCCGGCGCCATGTTGAAACCAATATTTAATTGTTTTTTTTATATATATTATTCAATGAATTATTATTACAATTAGTATTAAGTTATGAATTGTATTTTGAATTTGAATTAAAGCATTATTAGTAGATTAAGTTTAAGTGTATTAACTGAATTATAAAATTGAATTATACAAAATTAAGTACTATTTGAATTTTATATATTAGTAAATTAATGGTTAGTATCTAATATAAAATGAATTGAAAATAAGTACTACCTTAATATAATTAATATAAAATATAATGATCATTAACTAAAAGATGTTAATAATTAAGTAGATAACAAATAATGTTGCTAACGGTTTTTTTTAAGAAGATAAAAGATTTCCAACCAACTGTTCGGGTTTTGGAAAAGAAGTTAGGTGTAATTATAAAAATAGAATTTGTAATCTGTCACTTCTTGCTTGGCAACAGAACTATTCAGTTCATTTCATCCACAATAACCCAATAAAATTGAAACATTTATAACGTTTTTAGAAAAAAAAAAGAACCTTTAAACTCTTTTCCTCAAATTGGTAAATACAAAATCACACATACAACAAGGTAAAGTAAAAAAAAGGGAACACATACTCCTCTAAAACATAAGTATATATATTTGTATAATAACAATATCTCTTATTTCCCTCATAATTAACTCCAATAATTAAAATCACTTTCTGAGTGATTAAAATTATTCATTTTCTCCCAAAAAAACCAAGGGTTCCTCATCCTCAAAAGGAGAAAATTTATTAATAATTTGTTTTATCTTTCATACAAATTATTTCAATGGTCATGATCCCTGCCAGCAAATTTGAGTTTAATTTTGGATACATGAACTGAATAGTCACTATAAAGGCTCAATTTTATGTTTCTCAGTGCTAAGTTAAAAAATTTACAAAAACAAAATACAGTACTTTCTAATTTTGATCATAATTTTGTTAAATTTTAGTGCGTTTTAATATACCAAAAGCAAAATTAAATGATAATAAGTAGATAGAATAAAAATTTCAAAAACTAACACTTTTTAATACAATAAGAAGATAGTTTAATGCAGAATCATTCTTGCTCTCAAAATTAAGAAGGAAAAGTGTTTGCACATTTCAGTAAATATATTTATTTCATTGTGATCAGTTGTGTGATATATTGTGAAATTTAGATTTTGTAATAAATTGTGTTAATTTAAAATTTAATATATCTAAAACATAGTTTAATATAAAATAAGCATCAGTGAGAGATTAGTGAGTGCAAAACAGTATAATAAAGGAGAAATAAAAAAAATTATTATAAAGTCGCTTTTATAACATAAAAGAGTATAAAATCATGACACTTTCCAGCTTCTCTATTGATATGGCAAAACTGGAAATTTACTACATTTACGAAATTTTATGTTATAAAAAAGTGACTTGAAATTGAAACGAAATGGACACATCAAGTAAGTATTAAACAGGCGGAACAGTTTCTTCCGAACGGGGTCACTTTTTATTCACTCAGATTATATCAAATTAGATTGTTTTAAACATTAAGCTGTAACGTTATGGTTACAATTTGGATAGAAATTGTTGGCAGGGATTACATCTATAAAATTATGGTAAAATTCAAAAAAGAAGTACAAATACTAAAAAGAAGTACATTTGCGTACTTCTTTAGGGGTTATGCAGTTAAAAGTACAATTACTAAAAAGAAGTACGCGTACTGCTGAAAACAGTAGTCTAGCAAGCCTAAATATTATGTCCATTTTCCTTATTAGGAAGAAGGAAAAAACCAAGTTGTCTGACTGCTTTTTCAAGAATTTCATGTTGGAATACCTCGATGCGCATTAATATACTGAACACGAAAAAAATAAAAAATAATTTTTTCCCTACCCCAGATCCCTACCAGCGATTGAAAATCCTTACATCAGTATAATTTTTGTAAAATAAAATGTCTTCGATTTCTTCAAAATGGGTGTCAAAAATTCCGTAATTTTCTGCTGACTACGAGGAAAATAATCTTAAAATTTGTGTAGAGTATTTTTGGTCACAAAATGATTTTTATTGGGTTGGAGTGGCATATTATTTTCGTTTTTATCGAAATAGGTGTCAAAATTGTCTTAATTTTTAGCTTATACAAAAAATGTCCATTTCAGAATTTTTTTTATTTATTTTTTTTTTTTTTTTTTTTTGAAAATAATATGCTCCTTGTAATACACAAACAGCCTGTTTTTCTAAAATGAAAATTTGCCTTCGTTCTTAAAAATAACGAACGAAATTGGCTTTACGTTTTTGTAACGAAAAAATAAATTTTCATGTGAGTGTCAACGAAAGAGCTTTATTTTTCCATATATTTTTGGTTTTTAGAAAATGAATTCGTTCGTAATAAACGAAAGAAATGTCAGAAATAGACGATAGGCAAAGGCCTTTCGTTTGCGCAAAAAACAACGAAAATTATACCAAAATACGAAATAATATGTTGCCACTTGAACCTGAATGCAATTTGCAATAAAAACCTTTAAATTTCTTGAGAGATTGCATACAATTTTCATGTTGTTTTTAAAAAAACATTTTTTCATAATTTAAATTTTTTTTGTAAAATTATTTTATTTTTGTTTATTTTTTAGGGTTAACACCAAACACGTTATTACTACATGAAAAAATATTTAAAATTTCAGAAATGAAATACGTAGGCAATAATGTTCTGTTACGATAGAAAAAGCTCATTTCATTTTAGACATTTTTAAACGAAAACTTTCAAATGTTTTATAAAAACCTAATTTTAAACTTGATCGTAATAAAATGAAATGTTCGTTTGAGAACTAAATTGTTTTAGAAAAACAGGCTGTAAGAGCGGTTTTTTGAGATGGCTTGATGGCTAAATTTAATCTAATGTTAATCCCCTTTGATGTTTTTGAGTACAAACAGGGTGCACTTATAAGGTGAAGTCAATTCTACAAAAACAACAAAAGTAGATACTTCTGTCAAAAAATTTACATGTTGCCACCGTGTTTTTTTTTTTTTTTTTTTTTTTTTTTTTTAATTTACCTTACAAAAAGACAATCCCACATGAACAAAAATCTCTTCACGTAAAGTAAATATGTATTATAAGATAAAATTTATTAAAAATTATACATGAATTGAAAAATAAGGGTAAGACCCCTTATTCACAAACAAAATTTGTATTTTATAGACGGTATTTTGTATGGAAATTTTGTTTTATAAACCTTAGAATATTAGAAAATTATTTATTATTTACTTATTAAAAAAGTAAATAAATTATCAATTAAAATAACAAAAAATTAATATTAGATTACAAAATTGTAAGTGTGTAGTAGCAAAAATACAAATTATATACATATTATTTTTTATCAGTCAATATTTGGAACTTATAAAACCGTGTAGGTCTCTACTATTGTCGTATAAGAAATATATAATGATCTTTATAGAAATGTGACCAAACCACTACCATGGAAAGTTGTTAAAAACTAAGATATCTATGATAAAATCAAGTTTTAATAATTTTATTTACAATAGTGAAATGTTTGTACTCTCAATTGATTAGTAAAAAGTTCCCTATAATTGATAAAATAGATGCATATTTAAGACAAATAGTTTGTGCAATTTTTGAGTATTTCGCATAAATTTACTACGGATTAAAATGAATATAAAATTTATTTATTAATTTTTTGTCCTAAAAATATAATGAATCCCTAGATAGATGTACAAACTTTTTTCGGATTGTAGCAACTCTAAATGGTGTACTTTGATAGTTGTATCTCCCTCAAATAAAAAAAATGAGTGATCAGCTGTTGAATTGACTTCACCTTATGAGTGTACCCTGAGTACAAGATTAAACTTCGCAGTGTTGCCATACAAAACAACAGAAAACGTCACTGTTTGTTATCAAAACAATGCATATTTTAATAAAAAAGAAGAAGACAATTGTAAATTTAATGTGAAAGTTAATGAAAACTTAAATTTAAAACAAAAAAAAATATTTTGAAGTGTCCATAATTTATACTAATCAATAAATAGAACATTTTAATGTTTAGGTTAGGTTAGGTTGATAGGAGGATGTATACTACATCAAATCCGAAGAAATACACCTAGGCCACTATCGGGCCTGTTGTGCGCTCCAATTCAAGAAAAAAAAAATTGTTCACTGAATGTATTATTTTTCCATGTTCAGAAACTCAGTTTCCTGGACGTAATTCTTAAGAATCTTCTAATCGGTGTTGGTTAAGAATGTTATTTCCGGAATAACATCACATCCAAGATACTTGGATCTAACTTCGACGAATGCCTGACAATGGCAAAGAAAGTGCTCCAGAGTTTCACCGTCCTCTCCACATGCTCTACATTCGTCTGAATCCGCATGTCCAATTTTGTATAGATGTGCACGTAATCCTGTGTGTCCACTCAGAATACGTACCATCATACTAACCTCAGACTTCCTCATTTTGAGGAGATTTCTCGTCTTGCTCTTATCAGGGTCACTCCATAGAATCTTTGTGGTTCTACCCACCGTTTCATTATTCCAAGAGGCCTTATGGGATTCTCTCATCCATATTTTTAATTCAGCTTTTGTTGCGTCGAATGGTTTTGCGTTTGTCAGGTTAACTACATCGAGCTCCCTTCCCTTTAAAGCTATTACATTCGCCCTTTCGTTGCCGACTCCTCCCGAGTGGCCTGGTACCCATATGATGTGAACCTGACCTCTGGGAGAGTATTCAATTAAAGCTTTCTTACAATCCAATACGGTCTTAGATTTAATTCTATCACCTGATATCGCCCTAATTGCCTTCTGGCTGACGGTAAATATATTAAGCCCTGTGGGCGCCATATTTATTCTAATCCAATTTACACATTCCGTTATTGCTCGTACTTCTGCCTGGAAGCTTGTGTTATGATTAGGTAAACGGTGGTATATTTCTGTTTCTGGGTCTTCAATATAGAACCCCAGGACCACTTTGTCCACTAATTTAGAGCCATCTGTGTTGCAACGGATTCCTACTGGTATTTGCTCTAATATTCCGCTTGACCAAGACATTCTTTCTGGATTAGCGTTTCAAAGTTTCCGACATATTCTGTGTCTGGTATGCGATCAGGCACGTCCGATGAATGTGTATAACCTTCCAATGTGTCCAGTATACATTGATGACGTGTCCTATAACCGTTTTTGGCCAGTTCGCCTAAAGTAAAGAGCCGTTCGGATGTAAGCGCCGCCTCATATCTTATATATGTTTCAATGGGTGGAATATCTAGCAACGTTTCCAGAGCCTTGGTTGAAATAGTACACATGGCACCACTTATACCCAAGCAGCATGTACGCTGAACTCCCTGTAGTAGTTTGATATTGCACTTTTTGTCCAAAGCAGTCCACCAGATTATTGAAGTATAAGCTAGAATTGGTCTAATTACACTTTTATAAAGCCAATTTGTCATAGTAGGACTAAGACCCCATTTCATGCCTATGGTTCTCCTACATATCGCCCAGCACCGATGTGCCTTGTTGATCCTATCCTCTATGTGGTGTCTCCATTTTAATTTCCGGTCAAGTATTACACCTAAGTACTTAACTTTGTCTGTCACCGGTATCTTCTTGCCCAGGAAGCAAGGTTCAGTGTATGTAGAAATTTTTGTCTTTCTTGTGAAAAGACAGATTTTCGTTTTCGCCGGGTTAACATTGAGGCCTCTCGGTTGAGCCCAGCTCAAGGCCGTATTCAGAGCCTCCTCAGCTCTTCTACACAAGTAATTTGGATCCTTTCCCTTTAAAAGTATTACGACATCGTCTGCATAGCAGACAGGTCTAAGTCCTTTCTCGGTTAGGGTCCTTAGGAGGCTATTAATCGTGGTAACCCAGAGTAAAGGTGATAAAATGCCACCCTGTGGTATACCGCGAAATACCTTTTTCCTGATAGTTATATTGTACATCTCGCAGCTTATCCATCTGTTCCTTAGCATGTAGTTGATCCAGTTACGGAGCACCCGGTCAACATAAAACTGGTCTAGGGATTGGATAAGGGTATCAGTGTGCACGTCATTGAAAGCGCCTTCGATGTCAATGCATACCGCCAGTGTATACAGTTTGCTATCGAAAGATTCACCTATGTAATGGACGACTTCGTTTAAAGCGGTTTCCACCGATCGTCCCTTTACATAAGCATGCTGCTTATATTTAAGGTATTTTTGTCCAAGGGTCCGTTCCAAGGTTTTAAGTAGGAAGGACGTAAGACTTATCGGTCGATAGGACTTAGGTGTCTCATAGCTAGGTTTCCCTGGTTTG